GAAGCAGACAAAGCTACTGGCTGGACTGCGGGAGGTGGTTTAAATATCAGAGGCCACAGGAGGATGAAGGGAAAGAGGAAAAGATACTGGCCAGGCAGCAATGGAAGCATCAGACAATGAGTCTAAGCCTAAAGGGGCTGTACTAAGAGAAGAGGGCCATAGCGGGAGCAGGCCAGAGACATAGAAGGACAGGGAAGCCTCCCAAGCCAGTTCACAGAAAGAATAAAATACCAGAACCTAAAACTGCACTGGTAGACTGCTCTGAAAAGAGCTTTTCTCAGAAAAATGGAAGTTAAAACCAGGGCAAAGGCCAACGGCAGAGGAAGAGGCAGGGTGTGTCTTTAGAGCTCTGCTGTGCCTTAACACCCTGAGACCGACTAGCTGGCATGGCACTCTCCTCTTCTTCAGGCATTTGCTACAGAGAAAGCAGACTCTCCCTCGTAAAAGGGAAGACCAGAAGAACCCACTCCAGCTCTTTACTTGATACAGCCATTTCTGTTAACGAAGTCCAGCAAAAGTCATTTAAAGCTTCTCTCAATATAACCAGAAGCCCCTGTGTGTGCTTACGGGAAAACTGGGTACGAAGAATAATAGGGCACAGCAGATCTAAACCTACTTCCCAATTTGTGTACAGTGTTATTTCTATTAATGGTAATTTTAAAAGTATATTTTAAGTATAAACATAACTCATGATTAAGGACTGGAAGACAGACCTTTAGAAAGAAATACAAAATACTGTTAATTACATTAAAAGGGCAAAGAAAGGGTTCATAAGTTTTAATACGTCATAAACTACAACATCCAAAGCTTTTAAAATTTGTAATTTTGGAAAATCAACCCCTGCCCACTTTGTTCAACGATAAAAATGAAAACTGATCAAAAGGATACAATATTCCTGGGAAGAGTTTACTAATTTTAAAGAAAAAAGGTATCTATTCTAACAACTTCTAACAATTCAAGTAAGTAAGACTTAGAGTGTAGCTCAGTAATAAAGTGCTTGCCTACCATGCATGAGGCCCTGGCTTTAATCCCTAGCACCAAAAAGTAAAGAGAGAATTGGTCTATAAACTAGATTTTCAAAATACTTACCTAAAATCCAGAAGTAGTGATACAAACTGACAATGTGATTGGGAAAGTTAGGCTAGTAAAGGATACAGTCTTGCCAAAGACACTTTCAGAAAAGCTTTACCAACTCTGGGAAGAGCTAAATATTGTAAAATTTTGCTTGTTTTTAAAGAATTGGACAGCTGGGTATGGTGGTGCACCCCTATAATCCCAGCACTGGAGAGGCAGAGCTAAGAGGACTACTGTGACCAAGGCCAGCTTGTACTAAATAGTGAGTTCAAGTCCAGGCTAAACTACATAGCAAGACTTGTCTCAAAAAAACAAAAAACAAATGAAGTATTGAACAGTAACTAAGGGCACAATAAAAATCAGGCTTCCTGATATTTATTGTCAATTCACTAAGGGTTTCAAAAAGACAGCTGAAAGCACCCTTATCACAAAAGTAGGAAATTTAAGAGAGGCTCTCTATGTACCTGCTCTCCTTCAGCATCAAGCAGCATTCAAAAAATTCATCCACATTTACTATACCAACACAGCCCATTAAAAATAACCAAGCAAGGCATTGTACATCTATAACCCCAACTACACAGGAGGCCAAAGCAGGAGGATCACAGTTGGAGGCCAGCCTAAGCAACTCAGTGAGATTTTACCTCAAAATTAAAAAAATAAGGGGAAGGGGAGAAAGCGCCTCGGCTGGGATGTAGTTCATCAGTGGAGCACTTGCCTAGATGCAGTAACCCTTGGGTTCCATTCCCAGTACTGCAACAACAATAGGAAACAACACAAGGAAAAGCCACTGTGAAAGTACACAATTGTTCAACTAATAATACTTAAACCGGTAAAGTATGCTTCTTCTCCAATTACGACTGGACATTCATATTTCTTAAGTACAGAAGTAATGCAACATAATAAATCTAAAATGAAAAGTATTAATTTTGTGGCATCATTATTATATAGACCATTAAGCATCTCTAAATACTAATTTTCTGTTACTACAGAAATGAGAGTGAAAGGTGGCAAAGACAAATAACCAGACTAGCTGAGGAGGAAACATCAACTAATCATGCCTTTCAGGTAGCCAAAGGCTATGTACAACTCTGAATGCAAACTTCTTGGTTTACAATTCTGGATATCAACCTGGACTCAGGCCAGCACTGTGCACATAATGATTATACAGTAAAACGTCATCCTAAGGTCACAAAGCTCGGTCTCTACCCAAAGAGATCTCTGCTTTTAGGGTTCTCCTGCGCTCTGCCCTGTGGGCATGTTGTATGTGTCTCCCTTTCATTCCAATAGCCAACTGTCTGAGCTACCTCCAAGGAAAAGGAAACTGGCTCTCATCGCTCTGATCAGTAACTCTAGAGCTCTTTGAAGAGAGGTAAAACCGGCCCTAGTGACAGAACTCTGTAGCCTCTAAATTACCCACTGCAATGTGTTTTTAAAAATTTATTTTCAGCCGAAGATTTAGCACGGCACTGCCTCACAAGCCCTAGGTCGTGAGTTCAATCCCTGGCACCAAAAAAAAAAAAAAAAAAAAAAAAAAACAAAAACTGAAATAAAAGTTTATTTCCTCTGTTGGGCAAGCTGAGACAGAAAGTAGGATAGATGGTGGTGCCAAAGGCTCAGGAGCCAGAGAGATGGGGAGTCACTGCTTAATGGTGACAGTTTCACTTTTAAAAGATCAAAAAGAGTTCTGGAGATGGATGGTGAGTTGTACAACACTATCAACATATTTAATAGTACTAAAATATACTTTCAAAGCTGGTTAAAATGATAATACAGCTCAGCAGTGCAGCACCTGCCCAGCAAGTACAAGGCCCTGCATTCAATTCCTGGTAACAAAAATAAAATAAAAAAAGATAAAGTTCATGTTATATATATATTTTAAATACTTAAAAGCAAAATGGTCTTACAATATTTACCATGTTTTAGACAAGGGGTATGTTAAGTGCATCCATGTGATCATCATCTAGTTACTCTAAAAGGATTATTTATAAAGACATGAGTAAAACGAGCCAAAACAGTATCTCAGATTTACGATTCCAACTCATCCACTCAGGAGGCTGAGGCAGGAGGAGGACTGCTGCAAGTTCAAGGCCAGCCTGGGCTACATAGTGTGTCAAATGCTTGAACTACATAGCGAGACCCTGTCTCAAAAAAAAAAAAAATTGCAAACAACAAAAAACCACCACATTCTATTCTTAACATTAAAAAAGCATGTTTTATAGGAAATGATCTGTAAGAAACAACACTGGTAAAAACTCAGAAAAAGCCTGCTAGACTGGGTAGCAAATGAATATGAAAAACTAGGCACACCTCATAGACAGACTTACCACCGAGTAAGCCTTCTGCAGGAGCCACCTTACACGCTTTTAAAAAAAACTTCTCAGGGTATAAAGATCATTTGAGATGCAAAGTATTTCTTAGTTAACACTTAAAACCGGACAGCAAGAAAACTCCTCAGTCCTTTCAGTTATCTTAATGACTGCTATATTTCTCTGCTCATCTCATCGCGTCATTCCAAATGCATGAGTGTTTCACAGCTGACTGCCACCAAGCCACCTTCTATTTCTTATTTAAGACTCTTCTCCAGATATCTCAGTCCAGAACTCAACTCTTCCCTCCACGGCAGAGACCCTCAACAACCCTATCCACACCAGTATCAGTTTAGTAATTAACTTTTCTCTAGACTAAGCAAAAACATTAAAAAAAAAAAAAAACTGTTGGCAGTATTGTACATCATGTTAAACAGGCTACCTGATAGTCTCTCCCTGCATAATGAAGTGTGTTTGGCCCACTGAATTCATTCAATTACCAAAATGCAAAATTCCATAAGGAACACAATAAAAGACTTTTTTTTTTTTTTTTTTTTTTTGGCTTTTGAGTAGAGTCTTACGTGATCACCTAAAGACAAAGAGCCCAATAAAGTTTTTATAAACATCCTCTTAAATAAAAAGGACTGGAAAAGTATACTGCAAATATTCAGGTGCCTACAAGTTGTAGTAAAAGGTTTACAGTGGAATTTACTAAAACTTCTAGGTTGGGTCCCGGGGCACACACTGTAATCCCCGTATGTGGGAGCCTAAAGCAGGAGAATTGCCTCAGGTTCAAGGCCAGCCTGCATTGCACAGCAAAACACTGTCTCTAAAACAAAACACTTCTGTGGTGAAGTCATATAATTTTTCTATTAATAATTTGTCTTTGATCTTGCTCGTTTCCACTTTTAAAAATTAAAACCTGAATCTGCAACAACTTGACCACATCCTTTCTATTTTAAATCATTTTTCAGTGGAACCAGTATCACTTGAAGAACGGTAAAGTCTTACCAAAACCCCACTCCCACAAGTCTAATGGTTCAAAATCTCCCAGGTAATCAAAATCCTCAGACACTTCCATCTAATACAACCATGTTTATAGAGAAATGCTGTTTTCAAACAACAAATGTTTTTTGCTGAAAAAAAATACCCTGCCATAATGAAGCTGCTCCATCTATTGATCACATGTTCTTTTAGTCTTACTTAAATTATACTATAATATTGGTTATCAGCCAAATAATTCCAAAAAATAAAGTTTTGAGAAACCAAGACAGAACCTGGAAAGGGGTTGTTTGTTCTAAGACAGGGTCTCCTGTATCCTGTAATTTGACTCATGAGTGCAGAGATTACAAATGTACCACCATGACCAGCTAAAACACACATTTTTAATAGAAAAATAATAATCAAAATACCTGAAGTCTGTTTTTATGCTGCATTTATTTAATGTAGGCATAACATAAAGTCATAATTTTCTTAAAAACCAATGACATCGGGGCTGGGGATTTAGCTCAGTGGCAAGCAGGCAGTCGCAAGTTTGATCCCTGGTACCAATAAAAAGGAAAAAGACAAAAAAAAAAAAAAAAAAACAATGACAATTAAACCAGGCATGGTGGCACACACCTGTAATCCCAGCATTCCAGAGGCTGAGGCAGGAGGATCACTGTGAGTTCAAGGCCATCCTAGGCCACATAGCGAGACCCTGTCTCAAAAAAAAAAGACATTTAGACAGATCACCAAAAATTCCTACAGACTTTAAAGCCAAATGACATGTGTTTCTACATACCATTCTACAGTTAAACCCAGTCTAGTTGTCACTATGAAACTAATATACAGAAAACCAGAGCATTTTAAAGGATAAAATCAGAATTTACAAAGAAATATCAAAGAGAGAACATTCCTTTTCGTGTGTAATTTCTTATTATGTATCTAATTGCACCTCTCAAAGATTTAACAAATTTTATATTAAATAACCTGATAACTAAAAACCAAGAAACCTAAAAATAGCCAGCAAAATAAAACAGTGGTTCAACAAGAGCTAACTCATCACATGTAGTACTCTTGACAAACACTGGCTGGAGTGACCAAACCCAGTGTGCTGGCCCATGAACCAGCTAGTTAACTTCAACACAGGAATACATACTTAAAATACTCAGTGAAATCACTTCAAAAAAGAAACCTTTGCACTTTGTAGTCTAGCCCCTAACATCAGGGATTAGACCCTTTCTACTTTCTGTCACACCAATGTCCTTGCAGTAAAAAACACAGGCCTTTGTTAGAACTAACAAAGAATTCCCTTACAAAATCTAACTCCTTTTTCTCACTGTAGAAACAAGGAAGGGCACAAGGATACATTAAAAAACACTTGGGAAGAATAAGCAAATTGTTGCAGTACTTGCTTCAATAGTTTTTTTAACTGTACCATCTTAGATGGAGGGCTAATACAAAAGGTGTCTTTTTTTTTTCTTTTTCTCTTTTCCTCAGTCCACAAAAGTTATATTAATCATGTGATATTTTCAAAAATCTGAACCTAATTTTTAATTAACTTCTGTTCTTGGAGATTTAATGATTCGCCAGGTAGGTAATATTCATACACACATATATGTATACATACGCATGTCTTGCTATGGAAGGTCATAATTCATCCTTCTAACCTATCCTACAAATACATCTTTATTCAAAAAATGAGTAGTAACAGAGTAATACTGTCTGAACATATTGAACATAAGGACTCCTTAGAGTCACAGAGCCCAACCTGCAAAGAACTGCCTCAGTTTAAAAAACAAAAACAAAAACCACTTGACTGACACTCTCAGGTCAGCATTTTACACTATTCCAGATGTCAATAAATGTAAGTCATAAAATTACAAGATTGTGGCTAAAACAATAACTCAAAGTTTACATACCTGTTGTCCTGCAGCTTAATTATTAATATTGCTGCTTTTAACCTCTAAAAGGTTCAGTGTGGGGCAAAACTTATCTATTGTGACAGAAATCAGAATAGCAGTTGCCTCGCAGAGGGGGTAAGTGTTTAATGAATTGAAAGGACCCCAAGGGAGCCATTTGGGGGCTGAAATTTTTCTATACCTTGATCAAGTGAGGTTATCAGTGCACATATATTCATTTTTTTTAAAAAATCACGAAACTAGCCAGGTGCGGTGTCGCATGCCTATAATCCCAGCACTCAGGAAGTTAAGACAGGAAAATCATTGCGCGGCTGAGGCCAACCTGAGCTACATAGTGGTTCAAGGCCAGCCTTGAACAAATTGAAACCCTGTCTCAAAACAAACGAAAAGTAATTTCTTAAGCGCACTGAAGCATTATTAAATATCTTGTTCAAATTACATAAAATTATCCTATACACTGTTTTTGTCAAATGCATTTTTATAAAGATTCACACTGTGACCACTATTATATAAAACACTTCAAAACAGACTTTATTCTTTCGTTTAGAGAAAAAAAAAGTCACCCAATTTTGGAACTGAAAGCATTCACAAAGATGATCTATTCATCCTAATTTTTCAAGTAAGGTAAATCAAATCTACATAGATAGGGTAAGGAAGTACCCAATATAAGGCCTCTAGCCAACTGACAATGGCAGTAACACACGTTTCCTGATCTCAGGCCACTCCCATTTCCACCAGGCCGTTACTTTTCTGATAATGCAAACAAATCTGAACTCTCAATCTATCGGTGGCCTAAAAGGATTCTATATATGCCTCAAAACACCAGTTAACAGGCCCCAAAGGTACAGGCATGAAGACATCATCTTCTTCTATCCACTAAAGACAGCAGGCAAGCTAAAGGTAACATGTTCGGGCATTTTACTTAAGCAATAAAGTTAAGCACGGTATCTACAAAGGTGGTTCAGGAAAAAGTACATGCAAACAATGACACAAATCCACCTATTTCCTTTTAAATCTCTCTTTGGTGTGTTACTCGGTTCTCCAAAATAGATCACTGCTAAGGAACACCGCAGAATATCTCTTACAACCTTCAACCCGCACTGCTTTGAGAGATGCGCTGGGCACAGCCCCCACCAAATAAAAGCCCATCTTCCGGGCCGCAGCGTCCCACCCTTCTGCAAGCGCACAGCCACACTGGCGCTGGCCGAGTCTCGACGGATTAGTTGTAAACCCCACGCGAAGATCAGACACCTTGGGGAAAACTTAAACGTCCATCCTTTCCGCGGGAACGGGTGTGTGTTCTCACCAGGCGTTTCGGATCCGCACCGAGCAGGCCTTGCTCCCAGGACACTCTGTTCGCCCCTCCGGAGCCTCCCAGGCAGCATCCAAAACCTCCGGACTTCACCAACACAATTGGGAAAGGCCGCGGACCTGCCGAGTGGTTCGGGCCCCTGAGCAGCTCCGGGGTCGCCTGACAGTGCCCGGCGAGCCCAACGACGTGGAGGCCCGCTCACTTCTTCACGGCGGCTGAAGCCACCGGTTGCGACGGTCGCTCCACGCTCCGCCGCCGCGCAGCAGGCGCCCGGGCCCGCCGAAGTTGCGACCGGTCGCGCGGGCGGCGCGCCCAGCCCCAGCTGCGGGTTCGCGCCCCGCCCGGAGCGAGCCCGGGGGGCGGGTCCGCGGGGGCTCGGCGGGCGGGCGGCCGAGCAAGAGCGCGGGGCGCGCGCGGGGAGGGGCGCGCGGCGGGCCCGACGAGCCCGGGAACTTGAGGGCCGTCGCCGCCGCCGCCCGGCCACTTTCCTTTCACGCCCCCGGCGGGCTGACGCGCGCCGCGCTGGCCGCCCGGGGCCGACGGCCGCCGCCGCTCGTCTCCGCGCCGAGGTGCCGGGGCGCGCCCCTGCAGCCCGGCCGACCGGCGCGCGGGACCGCGCAAGGCCGCGCGCGAGCGCCCGCTCCCCCCCGCCCCGCCCCCGCCCCCACCGCGCCGCCGCCACCGCCCGTTGGCGCCTCAGCCCGCGCGCCCGCCGCGCCAGCTCCCGGCGGTTTTCCGCAGGCAAAGTTGCGCGGCCGCCTGGCGAAGGGGCGCCGCGCGGTCTCCCGCCCCGGCGCCGCAGCCGCCCCTCCAGGCCGCCGCGCGGGAAGGCCCAGCCGGCCGCCCCGCTTTTTTACCTGCCGGGAGTTTTCGCGCGCGCGCTCGCTCGCTCGCTTTCCTCCTCTCGCGCTCGTTTTCTTTCTTTCTTTCTTTTCTCTCAACCGCGCCGACGCTTTTTCCGTTCGCGCCGCCCGCGCTCGCCCGCTCGCGCCCTCCTTCCTGCTGGGCTCGGCGGAGCGGGGCGGCCGGCAGCTCTCCCCGCCCCCCTCCACCCGCGCTCCGGCGGAGGCGGCGGCGGCGGCGGCGCTCCGCGCTCCGACTCATTCCAATATGGCACGGGCGCACAGCGCATGCGCCCGCGCCCCCCCCCCCCAGCCCCGCGGTGCTCCCGGCAGCCCGCGCCCCTCGCGCCGCGCGCGTGGCGTTCCCGGCTTGGCCCCCGGCGCCTGCTGCTGGGTCCTCTTGTCCAGCTGGGGCCCGCGCAGGACGTGCGGCGTCTGTAGCTTGGGACCGTAAGGATCTGACGCCTCCGGCAGCCCCCGCGCCTCTCGTCCCCAGCTGCACCTCGCCAAGGCGGGGACTTGCGCCCCGCGACGCCGCTCTGGCCGGGAGCGGACGGGCCCCAAGTCAAGACGCACACTCGAGAGCCAGCGCCGTCCTGGCTCTGCTCTGACCGGGGGCGAGGGCCTCACCTCCGCTTCTGGACGGAGCGGTGGGGGACCCATTGGAGTTCCCGGGCCGGTGCTAGAGTCTCGGCCGTGGCGAAGCGCGCCGCTGTGGCCCGCGCGTGACTGACTCGGCCAAGACGGCATCCGCGGAGAAAAACACAGGCGCAGCCTGACCCCAGAGGGGCGCGCGTCGCCGGCCAAGGGGATCGCGCCCCCAGCCTGATCCACGTAAAGGGCCGGGCGCGTCTTTCAAGACCTGTAATGGAAGGGCGCCCAAGTAGCCTCTGCCTTCGAAGTTCGACTCAGACCCGGGACGCTCTTCGTATCTCCTGGCGTACCTGGCGAGACGCCTGTGTATCTGAGTTTTACTGCAGCGAAGGAACACAAGGCAGCCACGGAACTCGGGCATAAGATCCCAGAACCTAAGTAGGAGCGGAAGCTCAAAAGGGAGTGAACATCAGCCCCGTGGCCGAGCTACCCATAGGCTGTTATTGTGTTCTCCCGCAAGCACACATGCCCGTGGGACACGCACCCAACCTCCACCTGCTCCGGAAATAGAAGAGTCCAGCGCCTGCTAGGAGAGACCCGGGAGTGCCCAGCTAGATAGACCCCGGGCCCCTCGAGGGAAGTCTTGGTCTGTGCGCGCCAATAGCTCCAGGTTTGCTGAGAGGAGGCGCTTCACCCCTTGGGTCTGGTGTACCTGCTGTGCCTACTGCGCAGGCCATGTTTTACTACTGATTTCCACTGCCCCAGAAAAGTATCCAGTTATTACTACAGAATTTGACTTTTCAAAGAGAAAACCTGAATAGACACATATCTTTACATAGTTACCGCCACGCATTTTCTTATGTTTCTATTTTCATTAACATTTTTCTTCGTTAACATGTGTTTTTAAAGTGTCACATATCCTTACCCATTCACTTAGTCCTCTAATCTGGTACATTGTGTTCCTTTGAAATTGCTTGCTAATGTATCCTTGAGTTCTGCACTTGGAACAAATACCTGGAAGTGGAAAATCTAGATAGAAGGCTATGAATGGCTTTTGCCCTACAATGCTCTACGATGTTCTCAAAAAGCTGTTTCTTGTCACCTCCAAGGAACAAGTGTAAAGAGTTGGACGCATATTTATAAGCATTGAGTGCCGTCTTTTCTGCCCTGCATTAATGTCTGTTGGTAGTTGTGGGTTACTTTCCTTGACGTGTCTTAGATAACCACTCAAAAAAGAATATTTAACCACGCACTATTTGTGTTACCCCTTCTCTGAATGATCTGTTCATATTCATTCATCTGTTTAGCAGTCAAACCTCTTCAGACTTTGAACAAGCATTTTTTATAGCCATTAGTCCTTTGTTACCAGTGATGCAAATATTTTTCAGTCTGTTGTTCCTTTTTGTTTTATTCTAATGGTCGATCTGTCATTCTAGTACTCTGTGTTTTCATTGCTTCAGTGCTCCAAGGTGAACTATCTTCCACTCATCTACTTTTGTACAATTTCACTTTATGTTTAATTCTTTGATGTCTGCTCTAATTTATTTATTTTGGAGTAAAATGTATATATAACACATTTGCTTTATCACAAATTGTTATTGCTTATGTAGTCATCATTTATTAAGTAGTCCTTCCGTTATATGTTTAGTAAACCTCCATGCTAGCCTTTTGATATATTTCTGGTTGATATATTTCTGAATTCTCTTACTTCCTTACCTAGACTCTTAGTCTGAGCAAATACCATACCAATATAAATAATAGTACTTTTAAATAGTTTCTCAAATTTTACAAGACTTTATTCTCATTCATAGGGTCATTATTTGTTTTTTCAAAATATCACTTGATACGTACACTGGTTTATGTGTTCATACACATTCTAAGATACTCACAGAACTGCTAAGACCATTGGCTTTGAGGATAGACAATATGAGCCAGGTGTGGACCTAGGAGACTGGCAGCATCTGGGGCAAGTGCATCAGACTCTTTTCAATACTTAGCAGCTCCGTGACACTGAAAGTTACCTCTCCAGGCCTTACAATCTTGGTTTGTAAAATGGGGACAAGGATGATACCAGCCTCATAAGCTCAATGTCTCCCACATAGTAAGTGCTTAATAAGTGTTGGCTATTGTTAATATTTTTAGATCCAAAGAAATATTGAGATTTTTGCATAGACTTAAATTAATCCAAAAGTAATTTAAACAGATCATTTATTCTGTAGCACTTTGTTCTCTCAACCAGGATATGTGCTATCTTTCAGCTTGCTCAAATAAGGTAAAACTCACAGACAGAAGCTATTTCTCTTATGAACTGCAGTCTTTCTCCACTGCTCACCTTCCTGGCCCCTAATGCAATGGAAGAAGAGAGAATCATAAGAAATAGTTGAAAATGACACTTTGGGGCCTGGGGATTTAGGTCAGCAGCATAAGCACCTGCCTTGCAAGCAGGGAGTCGTGAGTTCGATCCCTGGTACCGGTAAAAAGGAAAAAGACAAAAAAAAATGATACTTTGAGGATCTGTGTGCATGTCAGGCCTGTGTGGATGTGCATGTGCACATCTTGCAACAGGGGTTGTGCATTCCCTGTGAACAAAGAGCAAACCATGAGCTTCCAGGTCATCCTTAGTAAGGGGCAGAGCTGGTCACAAACCAGGACTTCAGGCTCCTCAGCCACTGTGTTGTTGAGGAATTTGGGTGGGGGTCGTTAAAAGAGGAGGTCCCCAGAGAAGCATGGATCCAGTGGTTACCTGTGGAAGACTGACTTCTGGTCATTGCTTGCCCTGCCTAAAAGCCTCCCCAGGCTTCCTGATGTCCCTTGCCTCAGGCTAAATCCAAAGCCTACTTTAGCCTGTAACATTGGCTTTCCTCTGCTTTCCCGTGATCTGTCCACTCACCAATGTGTGCACCACATCCTTCCCACCTCAAGGCCCTAACACACTCGCTCCACCTCTGTACCACCTTCCCACATGTGGCAGTTTCTCATTGTTCCAGTATCTATTTAACAAGGTGGTTTCCTCAGAGAAGTTTCCAGCCCATCCCAATATAAATATGTCCTTTCTTTCCCCAGCTGTATTTATGTTATACCTGCATTTGTTTGCCATTTATTTGGGTTCTGCCCCACCCCCATAAACCTACAGATATGCATCAGTCCTCTGGAAGCAGAGACATGCCTGTGTCAGCCGTGAGGCAGTGGTGGGTGACAGCTGGCAGCAGGCAAGTCCAGAGGCTGCCGTGTCTCTGAGACCATCCCCAACTTAATCTCCACTCCCTGCTGGCTGTGTAGGATGAAGGTGGTGACACAGGATCGTTGTCTGACCATCCCACTGACCAAGGAGACTGTTGTCTGACCCTACCTTATGAGCCTACTGTTCCCCTGAAGCCTGGCAAGCTTTTTCCAAGCTGGCCTCCTCTGGCAATAACAACTTGAAGCTTTGTGCTGAGTGAGAACACGAGGCCCAGATGTGAAGGCGAGGGACCAGCAGCATCTGGGACCAGGGAGCAGGCTCTTTTCAACCCAAGGAGAACTTCAGTTCCTCAAGCTGCCATCAGTAACCACTGATCCTCCACTGTATCACTAATTACCACTGTATTTCTAATCAGTCAGCCCCCTTAGATCAGCCCATGTCACATAATGACTCCCAGGGACTACCCATGTGAGTGGGAGGTTGCTCCCAACAGCCTCTCTCACACCATGTCACTCTCCACGAGGCTTAGTTGACTGTGTGGCTGTCACGCCGCATTGAACACGTAGGCCACCGCTGTATGCTTCCCCACCGTACCCCCATGACCTGTTGCTCTCCTTCATCTCCAGGTCTTGGCTTGTGCAGATCCCTTCACCAGGCATGCTTCTCATCTATCCCACACTGTTATCAGGAAAAAACAATGGGCTTGGAAAGTAGATTGCCCGGGCTCGAGTTCACATGAGGTCACTGCTACTCTGTGACCTTTCACCTCAATTTCTTCATCTCTGTGAAATAGGGATGATGCTACTGACTTTGCTAAACTTTAAGACTCCAAGGATAAAATGTTTGCAAGTTGAATAAAACCATAATCAGCTTAGCCCAAAGCAACCTCCACCAAG